CTGTTGTGATAAACTAGCTCCCCTGGTCTGCAGGCCTTTGGAACTGCAAGAAGAGCGTCCAAGAGTTTTAAATGGGGACCAGACAAGCCCTCAAATACTGAAAGCATAGCTTAATGGTGCCTTATGGTAGGGAATTAGAAGACAAGCATGCGTAGAGAAAACAGACAGTAGAGGCTCAGTTCACAGGGTTTCAGAAGAGAACAAAGGCTATCAAGAGCTGCGTTACATTCTGACAAAGAGTCTGCTGAAACTCTGCATGTGTCCTAAGAACTTGTGTGATGGTGAATTAAAAAGTCATGATTTCTTTGAGAGAAAGAATTCTAAGACAGCATATCCTTCTGCTGTGATGTGGCTGTTGCTGTGCAGTTTTTTTTTAAATTCAGATCTACAGCAAGAGACAGAGAGAGAGAGAGAAAGAGAGAAAGAGAGAGAGAGAGAGAGAGAGAGAGAGAGAGAGAGAGAGAGAGAGAGAGAGAGAGAGAGAGAGAGAGAGAGAGAGAGAGCCAAAAGATTGAGCCTCAAATGAAGCTCCTGCTCGGGAATTTTAAACAGTGCTGGAATTCTTTTTTTTTTTTTCTTTTGAGACAGGGTTTCTCTGTATTGTTTTGGAGCCTGTCCTGGAACTCGCTCTGTAGACCAGGCTGACCTTGAACTCACAGAGATCTGCCTGCCTCTGCCTCCTGAATGCTATCACCTCTAACAGTGTTGGGATTCTTAAAGACTATACAGACTTTTGAAGTTGGTCCAAATCCATTTTGCATTATGGGATATCACCAAGGAGACGTGACTTTGTACAATCTGTGAGGAGTTATCTAGACTAGGTTAGTTAAAGTGGGAGAACCAACTGAACCATGGGCAACACCGCAGTATTCACTGTTTGACTAAAATTAAGGTTAGCTCTGTGTCTTGCACTTGCATTTGTTAAATGTAGCAACTCTAGCTTTTCTCACCTTATACTACTATCACTAACAGGACAATCGAATCATAATAGACAACTGGAAGGACAATAATTAGGGAGAGAATAATAATAATAATAATAACAGTTGATTTTGCAGAGTGCATCTCAATTCTCATGGAAATCCTTTGAACTTTACTTGGGGGTCCCATTTTACTGATTTATGTAGAAGAAATATGCAGGCCACACAGCATGTAAGCATAGGAGCTATAAAACACCTTGTTTCTGGTCCTAGCTAGTTGCTAACCACAGGGGAAAAGTTGAAAGACAGGTGTACTACTTACCTGGCTGCCTTCAGACATACCCAGCCTTTGACACTGCCTGATGCCTCTTTCATCTATGTTCACATGGGAAAACCATGAAACTGGATTACAAAACAAAAATGTTTTGAGTACGTTTGTGGTAAGACTTTGTTTGTGCTTTAACAAATAAAGCTTCCCTGAAGATAAGAGTGCAGAGCTAGCCACTAGTTAGCCATGGAGGCCAGACAGTGGTGGCACACACCTTTAATCCCAGCACTGGGGAGACAAAGGCAGGCAGATGTCTGTGAGTTCAAGGCCACCCTGGGCTACATGAACTTGATTCAGTCTAAAAGTGAAACAGAGCCAGCAAGTGGTGGATCACAACTTTGATCCCAGTACTGGGGATCATACTTCTTTAATTCTAGTACTAGAGGGATAGAGACAGGAGTGATGTGACTTGGTGGAAAGAGAAATATAAGGCAGAAGGAGACAGGAGTTCAGAGCATTCAGTCTGAGGATTGCTAGAGACAGGATCGCCCCTTCAGTAGAGGTAAGAACTAGTGACTGGCTGCTCTGCATCTCTGATGTTTCAGCATTTACCCCCATATATGACTTGGATTTTTATTATTAAAACCACTTAGAATTAGCGCTACTTACATTTGTAATTTGTGTGTGTGTGTGTGTGTGTGTGTGTAGGGTGCATTCATGGCCACCCTGGGCTGCAGGCTGAATGCATCCCAAGAGACTGGGACTTTGCTTGTCTCAACCTAGCCTAGAGGTGGAATGTGAAGACATGAGATCTTAGCCTGGTTGCACCTCTGTCTTCCATTTGACGATATCCTATACTTTACTTTCACGCCAGCGTTCTCATCCGTAAAGCGGGAGTGAGGAGGTTTATCTTGGTAGGGAGGTGAGAGTAAATGGGGCAGTTGTTATCAAGTGGCATGACGAGGCAAGCAGAAGGCAATCGATGCTGGGTCAGAGCAGCTCAAAGCCATAGTTTCTGCTTATTTGCTTTTTAAATTTGGAAAGCTGAGCAGAGAGGACTCTGGACAGGACAGTAGTCCTATCTTGCCTTAAAGGTGTTTTGAGGATCCGATGAGTTTGTGTTGTTTTTCTAAATTCTAAAGATCCAGAGCAGGGATTCACTTGCTCTTTTGACAGAATCAGATTTAAGACCATGCCAGAGGGTCAGAAAAATTCTTCCCATGTCATTTACTACAAAAACTAGGAAGTAAAATTACCTTTTTCCGTGTACAGTTTTCTGAGTCTTAGTACATGTATGGATTTATATAACCATGATTGCCATGTACAACAGGACTTCAGCTTCTGAGTCGGTCCCCCCCCAACACTTTTCACATTTATATTGCTGAAACACTCAAAAATAAGAGAAAGGGTTTTAGATAAATGTGCTGAAGATGCAAATTAATATAACTGTCTTTTTGCACAAATCTCTGCAGTCTCCAGACTCTGCGGCTTTTTTCCTGGGCCATTTTGGCTGGTGTTTGTGTAAACTCTCTTTGCACAGAAGGAATCAGCCACAGATTCAGAACTGGACCACCACAGTAACGATGCATGCTGTGGGAACAATACCTAGCATAGTTAATGTGATCTCTTTTGTTTTATTGGTCTTCGTTTTCCAGCCATGTTTCTTCTGTCATTTTCTCTCTAAAATAAACAAGACTGGAATAGCCCACACCTTTTACATCGGGGGAAAATTATTTGACTGGGGAAAAGAAGATAAAGCGTTTTTGAGAGAGCAACGACAGGGCGTTCGGAACTCCAAATCTCCTCCATTTAATGACATTGGTCCTCTAAGCATTCCAGTCCTTTCCCTAATCCATCATCCGGCGCCTGCCAGCGCCCCCTGGGAGACAGACTTTGGGACAAACTTCTTTCCTAGGTCAGCCCGCCCACCTCCCGCCGCGAGCGCTCCCTGCGTAAGTGACTTGTGCTGACACAACGCACCGAATCTGGTGGAGGGAGCTTTCCGGGTGACTCACGTCTTTGCTATTTGCCTTTGTTTCTGGGGTGTTTTAGCTGCCGTTTTCTTCCCTCTGGTTTTAATTTTGAGAGGAAAAGAAAAAAAAAAACCTCATAATGAATCAAGAATGAGTGTCCTTTCCACTAACCCTCATCCACCTTAAAGTTGACTCTCTTCACAAGTTTCATAACTACCCAAGGCGTGCGGGGGTGGCACAGGTAGGAAGGCATTAACTAACTACTTCTGAATCTGAAGTTGCCAGCCTAAGCGAGCCACGCGAGAGGAGTCTTTCTGAATCTCCCTCACACCCGGGCGTTTGCCGCGGCGGATGTAACGTGTGCAGCTCGTTCCTTTCTACTGCTGCTTTGCGTTGATGTGGGTCACGCTGAAATCCATCTCAGCATTGCCAGTGATGCCCGAAGCAGCGTGAATTCCGAGAGATCCATCAGCCGTTTTGTTTCTGTCCGAGGTAAATACGCTGTGCAAAATACGGAGCCACCAAAGGATGCCGGGGAGGGGGATCAGAAGGGGAACCCCTCACCGTTCCCGGACGCGTGGCTCGTTTATCTCCGCCACGAGAAGGCGCGCAGCCCCCGTCCCCCTCGTCTCCCTCTTTAAAGCCCCCATCTGGCAGCCGAGGTGGGCTGCGCGACCGCAATCTGTCCCGCAGCCCCGGCCTTCCCCGGCCCCCCGACTTGGTTTTTCCCAGCCGTGGAGGTTGGGCTAGGGGCTGGGGTGCAAGGAGAGTCGGCGCCCGCAGCGGGAGCCCGGAAGGCGCGGGGACTCGGAGTTGGCTTTGGAGGCGCCGGGCGCGGAGGTGAGCGGCGGGGACCCAGCGGCCAGGGCAGGATCCTGGAGGCGGGACCGGGGCTCCTTTGCACACTGGGGCGTGAGACGAGCTGGGGGTCCTGGCTGCCAACCCGCCCACGGTCCCAGGGCCGCTTTGTTGGCGGGTTCCCTCCCCCTTTCTGGAGCCGTCTGAAATCCCTCGGGATCTGGGGGGCTGGAGGACTACGAACTGGGGAGTTGGGAGTGGGCGACAGCTGTATGGCTCCGCACTGCTTTCCCCACCAATCCAAGAAGGTACAAAAAGAGATCGAAAGAGTCGCGTAACCAGAAACTTCGCTCTCATCCCAACCTGGGCGGGGAGGAGCGGCGTGGGCGGGGACCCCGGAAGGCAGGTGGTCGGCGGGGGCGGTGGGAGCTGGGAACTGGGGAAGGGAGAACTTTGCTGGCAGGACACAGCGGGCTCTGCGAGAAGTTCTAGGCGAGAGAAGAGTGCGATCCCGGTAGGAGCAAGGCGGGAGGTGGCTCTGGTACAGATGTGGGCCCGGAAGAGGCCGGCTTAGTGCTCGGGAGTGGGGATCGCGTCCCTCTGTGGGGAAGGGCGCACGCGGAGGCTGGGGCCCGGTGGGGAAGGTGGGGACAACTTGGCTCGTGCTCGGGGCCCTGCGGCTGCCCTCACACTTCTCTCCCGCTTGTCCCAGGTCGCTCATCCGATCCTGCCCTGTGAAAGGCGCCAACAAAAGAGTCGAGGAGGTGCCACCCCAGCGGCTGCGGGAGGAGGAGCGCTGAGGCCCGTGTCGCTACCGGCCGGCCGTGCGGACTCGCTGGAGGGAAGGGCGGGGAGCCGCTCCGGGAGGGGGACGTCCGGTGGCGCGGGGTAAGCCAAGTTCCAGTTTTGGTGTGCCCCCCCTCCCCTGACTCCCACGCGAGGAAAGTTTGCAGCCGACGCTTGCTGCGACTCGCGCCCGCCGGGCCCAGCCGGTCGAGCCTTCGGAGCGGGCGCCGTCCCAGCTCCGGGGAGCTGTGAGCCGCGATGCCTGGGGCGGGCTCCCGGGGCCCGGCCGCCGGGGATGGGCGGCTGCGGCTGGCACGGCTAGCACTGGTGCTGCTGGGTTGGGTCTCCGCGTCGGCTCCCAGCTCTTCGGTACCCTCGTCATCCATCTCCCCGGCGGCCTTCCTGGCCTCAGGGTCTGCGCAGCCTCTGCCAGCCGAGCGATGCCCCGCGGCGTGTGAGTGCTCCGAGGCGGCGCGCACAGTCAAGTGCGTTAACCGCAACCTGATGGAGGTGCCCGCGGATCTGCCTTCCTACGTTCGCAACCTCTTCCTCACCGGCAACCAGATGACCGTCCTCCCGGCTGGCGCTTTTGCCCGGCGGCCGCCGCTCGCCGACCTGGAAACGCTCAACCTCAGCGGCAACCACCTGAAGGAGGTGTGTGCTGGTGCCTTCGACCATCTGCCTGGCCTGCGCCACCTCGACCTCAGCCACAACCCTCTCACCAACCTCAGCGCCTTCGCCTTTGCGGGCAGCAACGCCAGCGCCCCCAGCTCCCTGGTGGAGCTGATCCTGAACCACATCGTGCCCCCCGAGGATCAGCGGCAGAATGGAAGCTTCGAGGGCATGGTGGCCTTCGAGGGCATGGTGGCAGCTGCCCTGCGCTCAGGCCCTGCGCTCCAAGGGCTGCATCACCTGGAGCTGGCTAGTAATCACTTCCTTTACCTGCCTCGGGACTTACTAGCCCAACTGCCGAGTCTCAAGCACCTGGACCTTCGGAACAACTCCCTGGTGAGCCTGACCTATGCGTCCTTCCGAAACCTGACACACCTCGAAAAACTCCACTTGGAGGACAATGCCCTCAAGGTCCTTCACAACTCCACTTTGGCCGAATGGCAAGGCCTGACTCATGTCAAGGTGTTCCTGGACAACAATCCCTGGGTTTGCGACTGCTACATGGCTGACATGGTGGCCTGGCTTAAAGAGACAGAGGTGGTGCCGGATAAAGCCAGGCTCACCTGTGCATTCCCAGACAAAATGAGGAATCGTGCCCTCTTGGACCTCAACAGCTCCGACCTGGACTGTGACGCTATCCTTCCCCCATCCCTGCAGACTTCCTATGTCTTCCTAGGTATTGTTTTAGCCCTGATAGGCGCTATTTTCCTCCTCGTTTTGTATTTGAACCGAAAAGGCATTAAAAAGTGGATGCATAACATCAGAGATGCCTGCAGGGATCACATGGAAGGGTATCATTACAGATACGAAATCAACGCGGACCCCAGGTTAACAAACCTCAGTTCCAACTCCGATGTCTGAGATACAGGACTGGCCAAGGACAGCTCTGCATGAGGTGTAGACTTCAAGTTTTCATGTTTTGGTTTGTTTTGTATTTTTTTCTTCCCTTTACGAGGCTTGCACCACTTCCGCCCTCCACTATGGACACCAAGGACTCTGACTGAAAGCAGTGAAGGGATTTTGCTTCCTTGTTATGTAAAATTCTTGGTGTGTTCTGTTAATGTAAGAACATGAACAACTGTGCATACAATGTTTATTTACCCTTTTCCTTTCGGTACTCCTCGATGCCTGCGGAGGGATTTTTTTTTCTCCCATAAGTTCCAGCATGGACAGGGACTCTTCCTTAATTCAGTTCAAGATGTAGCACAGATAGCATCCAACGGAAGCTGCCTCAAGTTTTTTAAGAAAAATACTTTTTTCATAAATATGAGTTTCATCGTCACCTACGTAAATTTAAAGAGAAAATAATTGCATCCCCAAACTGCCTGCAGACCTTAGCAAGCTCTTCCATAGAATCTAGTGCACAGGCGCACCTGCATCCAAGAGCATGCTTACATTTTACTGTTCTGCACATTAAAGAAAAATTGCAACTTCAGATAACTTCTTTGACAAACTAAATTACTTTTTGATTGCAGTTTATAGGAAACTGACCTAAGGGTTTTTCTGTTTTTTTTTTTCTTTGTTTGTTTTTATAAACTGCATTGAGATCCAACAGACTGGATTGTTTAAAAAAAATCAATAAAGAGTCTGAAAAGAAGCCTGGTGTGTTCAAGTTTGGTATTTAGAAGCGAGGATTAAAGGCAATGATACTAAATGGTCTTGGTTCAGATGAGGAGTCATTAGTTAGCAGACCTGAGATCAGATTGGAGCAGTGTCTTATATACATAGACACGATAGTTCTGAAATGGTGGATCCTTTTAGGGCTTAAATAGATGAAAATAATTACAGGGCCAGACTACTAAAGGTCCCCAAGTTAACGGTGCTCAGCCTTGTGAGGTTGGCAGTAGTGAAGAGTTCTTTATGATGAACATCTCACAGTTGCCACTTTGTATAGACTAATGAAGTTCGCAAGACAGAAATAGTAGTAAAACTGAATGAAGTTGCTCCCTGGAATTTCAGAGCCAAGTGTGAGCCATGTGGTGACAACAAATGTGTGAAAATAAAGTATCTTAAAATATTTTAAAACACAAACTTTTTTCAGAGGTCAAAAATCGGAATTCAGTGTCTTGAGAATATTTTTTAAAAATTTCAAAGTGGGCCAAAGAATGTATTTTTAAAATTACCATGTTTGCATTTAAGCTTAAAAAAATAACCAGAGATAAATATTTGTATCTAGGAACAAGTGTCCTAAATAATTGGGTTTTTATGCTCAGCATTTTAAGAATTAGAGGGCTTTTTAAAAAAGGCTAAGCTCTGAGCACTATGGAGGTGTATATACCTCCATAAGGAATAAACCATACTTAGACAAAATTTAAAGCAATTCTTCACTAATACTCTTGTCCTTTACTTTTCTAGCCATCTCTAATCCCCTGCCCCCTGTCTGCATTGACTACTTACAGTGAACTGTAAATTTCATTAGTTTGTCTCCAAGCCAGTATATAGAGGAACTTAAATTTAACCATTGTTCCCTAACTTAAAATAGGAGGACGCTTGCATCAATAAACCTCAGGATCTATTTTCCTTTTAAGTGATTCATGTCTACAGTACTTTACATTTGAAATAAAACTTACATTTTGCCATTTTTAGGTAGAGTAGCTCATACCTTAAGTGATAAACTCTTTTGCGGATTACTTCCTGCTGTTGAATTCAGGAGTTTTCAAAGCTATGTGAATCTATTTGTTGTTCGGAATTGGTTATATAGTCTAGTCAGAACATGGGGGTTTAGGATCTTCAGTTCTGTATGGCTTATTTGTAAAATAGTATTCATTATTTATGGGTAATATTTCTGTTCCTATAATTACCTGAGTAAAGGCTAAATATACGGTGCTTAGAGTTTCATTAAACATGGTAAGTGTCTATGTGGCGTTTATAAACTGGCTGACTGCCATTATTCTCAAAGAATAATGAAAATGTTAGTCTGCCAAAAACAGTAAAAATACCTCATACATAATAGAAATGAGATACTGATGACAGGTTTTGGGTGTGTGGATATTGTATAGTACTGATAGACCTGTATTACAAGAATTATTTCTTTGCCACCTGATAACTGAACAGTTAAAAATTAGGCATAATTGAAGATTCAGGAACTCAGTAGCCTCATTGGTGTTTATTTTTATTTGCTTTTTTTCCCTATTAATTCCCAAAGCAGTGATGAATCTGATCAGATGAAGATGATTTGCCTATTTGGAGGGCTGTTTTGTGGTTGTTCTCCTGTCCCGTCCGTGTCGGCCCTCCCCCCCCGCGTGGACCTGCTGATGTATTAGCCTTATTTTGTACAGTCATAGTACATAATATCGAAGCTCTCAGGCCTTCTAAGTTCCTTGGAAGACAAGTGCTATATAAATACAATATGCATATGGGAAATGGGAAACAAAAGTTGTGACTTCATTTAAAGTAATCACACTTGTTTTAATTACCGTTCTTTACCATTATACACTTGTTCTTAGAAACCTACAACATTCCATTTTAAAACTAAATTTTGGCTGTTATTTTACTTTATCACAGGAGGTAAGTGTTCAGCAGACTTCCTTTATCCTCAGCAAGTTTCATCTGAAGAAAGTTAGTGAAATACATCTTTTACTCTCCTAATTGGAAAAAACTATTTGAATATCTAATACTTTTCTAGTTAGTGAAGCAAAGATCTTTGTCCCCGCGTTAGTGCTGTCTGGTGACCTTCATTCTTCAGCACTGATTTTGTTGTCAGTTTGGTCGCCCCAGAGTGCAAGTCTTTAGCACTCTATTAAGGCTTCCCTTACAAAACAGGGAGGCTTTGAAACAACACGTTTGATGGGTTCATTTTGTTTGTTAAAGATGAACGGGAAGGCTGGGTTGAAACACATGGTGATTCACAATTAGTAAGTTCTCATGAAATATCATGATTGACAGTGAATTAAAGCTCATTGCATTATTTAATTAAAAATCACTTACACCTTACTTTACCTTTTTTTTTTTTTTTTTTTTTTGGTTTTTCGAGACGGGATTTCTCTGTATTGTTTTGGAGGCTGTCCTAGAACAGGCTGGCCTCGAACTCACAGAGATCCACCTGCCTCTGCCTCCTGTGAAGTGGCTGTGATACAAGGCAATCAATCCATGGCTTTCTTTGGCAATTTCATTCTTCTCCCCTGCACGGGGGTTCTAATGCAAAGCTCACTTTGTTGAAGATGGCAGAAGCTTTGCTACTCAAGTTTGCTGGAGTTGATCCTCCGTGTCATTCCCACTTTCCCTCTTGAGTTTTCTCCAAAGACTTTGATAACAGATGCTGTGAGGATCTGCAGGACTTAAGAGCTAGGTGCTTTCTTCCTGCTCTAAAATCCCCTAGCTGTCCAACCTTTGGAGGAGCATTGGGAAGACAGACTTCATTAGATCTGGTTGAGGAGAAAAGACAGGAAATTCCATTTGTGGATAACGTACAAAAATTTGTTAATAATTACTTCTTAGAAGGTTTCAGCAACACGGCAGAGGTGTGTTAGAAATGGGTAGCTTAAGAAGCCCTGTGCTGTCCTGTGCTACAGTCTCCTCTCAGATGGGGAAAACAGCTCCTTGAAGGGCTCACACAATTATCTTTACATTCTCCTTGGAGACTGGATTCAGAAAGGCAGGCTTTTAAATTGTGTGTTTTGTCTGAGAACATCTTAGCAGCTCGGCGATTGCCATGGGTTAAAAAGAAAATCTAGACTTCAAATTGTGTAAGATAACGGATTATATATGTGAATTCTTAGTGTTTCAAACTCAGAAGGGCTCTTAGACAGGTCAGGCAAGTGTTTCATTCTACAAATGAAAAAATGATGACTGTGACTTACCCATAGCGTAATGAATGCCAGACATTCCAGATGCCAGGATTCTAAGCTACCCATCTCCCACCCTGATTACAGATGGCAGTATTACTAATTACCTATCTTGGAAATTCCTGTGTCTAAGTTTTAAAACGACAATTTCCTTGGTGCACTTGTATTGTGTTTTGAGTGAGCATTCCAATCCCCTTCAGATTTTTCTTCAAAATTAGTAATAGGTACCATGCCTCAGGTCCCTGAACATATGCTAATGTTTTTGAAATATTTTCCTAATGGTTGTTATTATAAAACATCTCTGCATCTATAGCATAATGGGAAATAGTTGTATAATCATACTATTTAGAAATTGTACAGAAGAATGGATTTTACCACAGCATTTTCATATATACCTATTTACCCCCATTGTAGGAAATAGTTTGGAAACTCTGTGGTGAAACTTGGATTGAAAGGACAGAAACTCTGGAATGCTGGGGTAATGTGTATAATTCTGTTTAGTTTGTGAGTAATGGACCAAATTAGGCCAAGTTCATGGTCATGAAGTTCGTCACCAGGTGAAAGGGTCAGTTTTGCATGATTATGGTCTGCTTTCCTGGCTGTGCCAATGCAGGTGTATGTTACCATCTTTCCGGGGTCTGGAAACAACCAAACAGGGAAACTCCGGCAATGCAAAGCATCCTCACCTTGTTAAAGGCTGTGTGTTGGCAGGCTGTGGCCAGCCCTGCTGCTGCACGGGTTTGATCTCTGCACGAGGCCACACAGACAAGAATCTCAGTGGTCTCCCATTGTGGTTCACATGCCACAGATTGCAAAAGGTTTGACATTTATGTGGGTTTTGGAAAGACCAGTGGGTATCTTTGAATGTGTCTTGTAGGAAATTAGGTTTGCTTAATTATCTAAAATAAAAATGTGCCTTTAAGTTATGACTGCTACATTACAGATTTACATGTAAATTCTTATTAAATATGCTCTGTGTTTAGCCAACATTTTATGATAATAAGGCCTATTTATGATTCAGTTTAGTTTGATTAATGTCAGAAAACACTTGTTATCAAGAAAGCAAGAACTTAAAATACAATTAACAATTAGACTTTTGTGGAAAGTACATATTTAATAATATGTTTTAATTTAAAGATATAATCAAGATACAGTTTTGTTGTTGTTGTTGAAAGCTTGTAGACTTTCCCCACATAGTACTACCTTTACTAGTTTTTGGCTAATTTCCCCAAAGACAGTTGTGACATGATATTTCAAGGTCATTACTTGCACACGGGAAGTGAACTACCTGTGACTTTAGACAGGTCAGTTTGCAAATGTGTCCTTCATGGACAGTCTCCAGTGTTAGAGAGTAATGGCAGTGAACTTCAAAGAGGACAGCTTTTCAATCAGACATATTCTGTGATCATTCAGATAGCTCCCAAATGTGGCTATAGAGTGTCTAAAACAGGTATTTAAGTTAATTTGTACTTTAAAATATTTACATATAATTTATAAATATTTACAACTCCAGGAGTCAGGGATGACACAGTGTTTGATACTGTCATCAAGGGGGAAAAGTCTTAATATTGAGATAAACTGCTTTATGTCACATGTATTTCACGTATGTAATTTATGTGTGATTAACGTGTCATGATTGCCACTATCCCTAAAATTGTTTTGGTAGCTGGTTTTAGAATATTGCGTTTCTTACCGAGGATGTGTCCTGTGACTTAGGGGAACTCTCTACTGAGCACTGGTGTCCCTGTCTGTGTTTCTGCTTTTGCTGTTTTCTCCCTTAATTCAAATGCCTGAAGGAGAATGGCTACCTTTA